CTCAAACCCGTGACCTTTGATTGAAACTGCAACACATTAACCATTGCGTCATGGGCTTGCCAGTTTTAGCTAGGAAATACTGACACACATTGATGAATGATTCCCCGAGCGGAACTCATTCGTCCTGTTCTGCCTTGGGGCTCCCTCTCGAGCTCCATCAATTTTTGTAGCTGAGAAGAAGACGACTCGATCGCTGGGACAACACTTGTATTTATCTAACGTTTCGAAATCTGTCACGAATTCTTCATAAAAGACATCAGCAGAAAGCAATAGCAGAAACATTTTCTGCTAATATTCGTAGCATTGAATTTCTGTTCAAAAGGTCGCTATTTTGAAGTTCCGGTGGCGGGGTTAGATCTGGCTGGCAGATGACGGCTTATGAACCAGAAACGGTCATTCTAGTCTCCATTGTCTTTGCCGGCAATGTTATCTGCCTAGCCTGCTAGCCGGTGTGCGGCTGTTGGCAGGGCTCGAAAGTGAGTCCCAAGACAGGGCGGGACAAGTGAGTACCATAAGCGCTCGGTGTGTGTTCAACATTGAGTGTGTACGAGGTAAGGAGGCCCTTAGTGGTAGATGATGGGCAACTGTGCTTTCAAAAGTTCGCACCAATTAGGAAAGTGATCAACTGAGTTACTTGCCGGTTGCATTGTCGCTAGTCATATTTACTTACACCCAAAATAGAATATGAATTTGTAGACAGAATTTGAGACGGCCTGCTCAGGCCAGCGATCCTTCATCCTTTTAATGAGAATACTCTTCGGAGGGCTGTTAAATGTGATCTGAGCTGCATTGCGTCCGTCATTTGATCAACGTTAAACTATTCTCGTCGTCAAATGACAAGAATGTTTGAATTAGCCTTACTGGAACTGACGGCTCCGTCAGATTTTTCCAAGACGGATTAATGTAGTTTGAATAAAATTGATCAGATAGACAGGGTTTTATCTGGGAAGGACACATAAGGAAGCTTGCTTCTCCTTAGCAGATTGTAGACGCTAAATAAATGGCAACTTCTGCTGACTGATTTAGCCCCTTAAGGCCACTGCTTCTAGTGCGATAATCTAGGATTCGGTTTTTAGTGGGAGACCCAAAGAAAAGCTCAACAGTGTCCGGTGGAAG